AACTAGCCACTGACACATAAATGCAGATGCCCATGGCGTCCAAAGGATTAACTGCAGTAACTTACAGCTGCTCCTCTGAAGTAGGCATTGGTGAGCGTCCTGAACCGCTCCTGACCAGCCGTGTCCCTGCAGCAATACAAACTCTCGCCATTAGTGACAGACAGAGAGAAGATTCAGATGTGATCGAGCACTTACCAAATCTGGAGTTTTACATTCTCTTCTTCTAGAGTGATGACCTTGTTTTTGTAATCTATGCCTGTCACCAAAAAAAACACAAAAAGTATACATAGCTGTTGCAGTCAAGTGTTGCATAAAATTATTGCTGGGTAGGGGCATTGCAAATCTTACTCCACACTGACTGTTTGTAGTGTGCCTAAACTGTGCTAGCTATACTCCTACAGACACTCTCATTGTTAGTTTACACCAAGTGGTAGTAGCAGCAACACAGGAACATGTACAAACAAGGTAGCTAAAGCAACTGGACAGCCAACCCACCTGACAACAAGTCTAGATAGAGCTAAGGGTAAGTATGGCATTGCAGAGAGAGACTTGCACATAAAAAAGAAGAAAAAAACCTTAATATTTACTGCTAGCTATAAGACCAGACTACAAGAGGACGATGCAGAACTATACTCACCCACAGTGGACATGAAGACGCTCTGAAAGCGCCCCTCGACGAAGCGGGTGAGCAGTGCCGTTTTCCCGACGTTGGAGTCTCCGATGATGAGTATCTTATAGATCTGCTTGTAGTGTGTCTCCACCTCCCCACCGTCCTCGAATATGTCCACTTCCGTGTCGGTAGCCGTCATCGCTGTCCCGGCCCTGCACGCGCTGCACACGGAGTCTGCACGCGGCTAACAGCGCACCCCCAACTCTTCCACGCAGAGAAGCAACACGCTGTCGCAGATGCTTTCTGCCTTGCTTGCGGGGTCTTTTGCTACACTGGAGAGGCTGGCCAGGAGTTAGACCCAGTGATGGAGCGAGCTAGCTCTGCTCTCTCTGTGGAGAAGGAGGAGGTAGGCGGGGCCCGGGTCAGCTGTGGCCACACCCCGGGGGTATGGTCCAGTGCGACAGAGGACGACACTTATGGATGCCACCAGTGAGACAAGCAAGGCTTCAAAGGAGCATAATGGTGACGACGGAAAGACAGAGAACACGCCAACGTACACCCGCATCACCCACGACGCCACGGCAAACGTTACGACCACCGTGAACGCGTCGCAGGTAATCCTGATCCACGCCGAAGAGAACAGCACGGTGGTATTGACTGGAAACCAGTTTAACGTGACCCAGCAGACTCAGACCCTGTCCCAGCATCATCACACTCAGCAGCACCGATGCGAATCGTGTGCTAGAGCTCATACCAGTGCCCCTGCTGCCCGTGAAGCTGGTGGTATCAGTACTCGTACTGCAAGTGGACCAGCTGAACGTGGTGCAGTATCTTCTGGTCCGGTCACCATTCAAACGTCAAGCCACGGAGTTCCCAGTGTTATATATGCACCAGGTGTGACCCTACAACCTATGCACCCAGATGTTAGACTGTCTAGAGGATATGGAACCTCCGTTGGGACCAGGCATTTTGTCTTTTATACAAAAGGTTCTCTTCTCTTTTGCAGGTCCTCCAGAGAGGCTTGAGATTGTTACTCTGACAACAAAACTCACGGGAACAGTTGGTAGTGGGTGGAAGTTGCTAGCTGCTCCTCTGTCTATCAGTGATGCTGATGTCAACTCTTTTGACTACGAAGAAAGAACGCTCAAGATGAAGATCAACAAACTGCTAACACTGTGGGTGGATAAGGACGAGAGAAATGACAGAACTAGACTATCACAGTTGCTGGGAGCTTTAGATGGCTATAATTTGGAACACGACTGTCAAATGTCGCTCAAAACACTGTGATCACCATATATTTTTTGTGTTTTATGGTGGCAGAAAACACACGTAATTGCAAACACAAGGAAAATTGTTGTACAGAAGTCAATATCCTTTTTTACATAAGGTAATGTACTCATCTCACTACACCTATCCCTATCTCGCTCAATTCACAATTCCTATATTATGTACATTACTGATCCCCACCCCACACTAAGGGTGTGAACGATTTTGCATTTTTTGTAGGCACATGAATGGAAGTAGAGAAAAACCAACAATTCCTAATACTTTGACTATAGATGGAGTGTGGAATAGTAATTTACACATCTGTCCTGTACCTATCCCTATCTTGCCTCTATGAAAATACTTTTGTTGCCTGTTCCCTAGCCCCCCACTAAGGAGTCAACGATTTTGCATTTTTTGTAGGTACATGAATGGAAGTAGAGACAAACCAATTATTTTTAATACTTTGACTAGAGTTTGAGTATGGAATAGCTCTATCTCGCTGTTCCTATCTCTATCTTTCCTCGAACTCACTGTCCCTTTGCTAATCCCCCTAGTACGTAATAAGGTGTCAACCATTTTGCATTTGTTGTAGGCACACGAGTAGAAGGAGAGACAAACTAACTATCCCCAATACTTTTACTATAGTTGGAGTATGGAATAGTAATTTACACTATGTTGCTGCACGTGTATATCCCTCAAAGTCTTTATCTCGCCTCTATGTACATAGTGTTAACTGATCCCCCACCACTCCAATAGGCCCAATGATTTGCATTTTTTGCGGGCACATGAATGGAAGAAAAGAAAACCCAACTATCCTCGATACTTTGACTACACTTAGAGTATGGAATAGTAATGTAGCTATATAAACATCTTGCTGTACCCGTCCTTATAATCTTACCTCAATGCAAATACGTCTCCCATTATCAGCCCCCCCCCCCCCCACTAAGGGGTCAACGATCTTTTTTGCGGGCACATGAGTGTAAGGAGACACAAACCAACTATCTTTAACCTCATGGGTGTCCTTCATGAGTATATATATATAATTTATAGACACAAAATACAACTGAAGTGTATGTACATTGAAATTTACTTTTCACACATTACAAAAAAATCATGTTGCAAACCGAAGAGCATGTGTAAAATAAATAGAAAAAGCTACGAGGTCCACCATTTCCCCTGTATGTCTTGCATGAGAGACGGCAGCTCGTACCAAGAAGCGGCGGCTAAAACGCCCACCATTCCGCACAGCAGTACACGCAGAGGTGCACGGAGGAAAAACCCGTCCGTGGCTAGCGAGAACACCAGTATATTCGTCACCACCAGGTCGTAGCAGAGAAACGTTCCGATAACGAGAAATACGTTGATTCCCACTTTCTTCCAGAACGGATCATCGTGCGAGGGATCGCCTGATGTCGACGGCTGCACGTCCTCCGAAAGGGCGGGATTTTGCGCCGCGGTTTCTCCGACGGGCGCGTCGAATTCCCCGCCGACGAGAAAGCGCCTCCCTCGCTCGGCCTGCAGCAACACGTAGCCACTGAACAGGACGAAGACGAGGCAGCCCAGCGCCTTTGTCGCTCCCATGATCGTTCGTGCGCCTTTCAGGTCGAAGGTCAAACGAGCCCCGCCTCTACTCGTTGTGGTGCGCTACAAATAGAAAAGACAAAACCGCGGTGAGATTTCGACTTCTCTCGCCAAAGAAAGAAATATGGCGCTCTTCAAGAGTCTCCGTCAAAAGCTGGGTCCTGAAAACGTCGTCAGCGAGGCAGTTGTCCGAGACATCCGCTTCCCGACGTCGCTGGAGGCGCACGGTTCGGACGCAGTCCACACGGACCCCGACTACTCCGCGGCCTACGTGGAGCTTCGGGTCTCCGGGCTGGAAGCTGTCGGGCACGGCCACACTTTCACGCTCGGACGGGGCACCGAGGTCGTAGTGTCAGCCGTTAACGCACTCCTCCCGCTCGTAGTGGGCCGTCCGCTTCTCGGAATACTCACCGACTTTGCCGGGTTTTGGCGCGGGCTCACGAACGAGAGTCAGTTGCGTTGGCTGGGACCCGAAAAGGGGGTGACGCACCTCGCTCTGTCCGCCATTATCAACTCTCTCTGGGACGTATGGGGAAAGATAGAGCAGAAACCCGTGTGGAAACTACTTGCCGACATGACACCGGAAGAAACTGTGTCCCTCATCGATTTCCGGTATATCTCGGACGCCGTTTCGAAAGAGGAGGCACTTGTGATTCTGCGAGAGAAGTTCCCCACCCGAGGAGAGAGGGAGGAGAGGGCGAGGAGGGAGGGGTATCCTCTGTACACCACGTCTGTCGGTTGGCTTGGTTACAGCGACGACAAGATCAGAGAGCTATGTTCCAGGGCTCTTGGTGAGGGGATCACCCAGTTTAAGATGAAGGTGAGTATAATTACAGTGGAACCTCCGAACAAGGGACACTATTGGGGACAACGATTCTGTCCCTTGTAGAGAGTTCGTCCCCATCTCTAAGGTCAAAAATACACCAAGTAAGAAACAAGTGTCCTTTGTAGAGAGGTTGTCCCTATCTCTTGGAGGGTCCCTTTTCAGAGGTTTACTCCACATCAGTAGAACCCCTCTTTAGGGTACCCCTGAAATGAGGACACCTCTCTCTTAAGGACACCTTTTCTTTCCCAAAGAACAGCCAACCATTGATTCCTCAAATATGGCATCATCACACTAATACCGACACTTCCTTCTGTTTAGAGGGGTTCCACTATATTTCCTCAAGGGCATCAATGTACAGTATACTGTTTATAATACATTGGGCTTATGAGTAGGGTTGAGCCCATTATGCTAACTTTTTTACCCATTATTCTATTCCGCAATTGTCGTAAATCTTTCCTATTATTCCTCCTCGCTGCCCCTATTATTCCCTTCGAGTTGGCATGCGCTAAACCCTTGCGTAAAAAGGGGGCGTGTAGAACGAGGAAAATTGCCGAGTCTGCACTTTTGTTCGCGCGGTTTTGCTGTCTCTAGCCTTCCCGTGGAGTGATGCGCTTCATTTTAGCTCTTTTTGCAGTGAAGATATCCAGGGTAAGTTCTCCATCTTTACGCAAAACCGCGGAAGGGCAGAAGCTCCGGCAGAAGATCGCGCAAACGCCTACACATTGCAATTCCGACCTATTATTCCCAGAATTATGCTTTTTCTGGGCAGCCCCTATTATTCCAAAAATTATGGCAGCATATTGGGCGCCAGCCTACTTATGAGTGTGTACGCAATAGTTCGTCAGAGTCTGATTCTACTCATAACAAACAGTTCGTTGATTTTTTGTGTTCGTCTTCACATCAATCAATCAGTGGGCCATTGTTGACTAAAAAAATCTTTCACCGTTTCTTTGATGTTTTGCCAGGTGGGAGTGAATGTTGAAGACGATGCCCGAAGAGCTCAGGTTATCAGGGACCAGATCGGCTGGGAGAGAAGCCTCATGATGGACGCCAACCAGCGATGGGACACAGACGAAGCCCTTGCACACATGACCCGTCTCGCCAAGTTTAAACCGGTTTGGATCGAGGAACCGACCAGTCCGGACGACATTCTTGCCCACGCAAAAATCAGACAGGCTCTGCGGAAATTTGGAATCGGCGTAGCAACTGGAGAACATGCGCACAACCGGGTAATGTTCAAGCAGTTTTTGCAAGCCGAGGCGATGGACTTTTGTCAGATAGACGCATGTCGTCTCGGTGGCGTCAACGAACTCGTTGCCGTGGTAATCATGGCCGCCAAGTTCGGAGTCCCCGTGTGTCCCCATGCCGGTGGTGTCGGGCTGTGCGAATACGTCCAACATTTGGCGTTCTTCGACTTCATCTGTGTTTCTGGAACAAAAGACGGCAGAGTAGTGGAGTTCGTCGACCACTTGCACGAGCACTTTGTCGAGCCCGTCACCGTGAAAGGTGGTTGCTATTGGTTACCCGGTCGCCCCGGTTACTCGGGAGAGATGCTGCCGCAGTCGCTAGATGAACACGAGTATCCTCACGGAGCTGTCTGGAAGACTATACTGGAGTCAAAACCATCTTCATGATTGTCACCTTTTGGCTCAGAAAAAATTAAAATTATTATTAATTCCTTTTTTGTCTCAACCAAAGGTTTTTTTACTTGCCACAATGCATAGCCTATAGCTAAAGTACGTTCGCGCTGAAAATGCATGCAGAAGTAGATAATGAGGAGAGCGGTACTATTCACCCGTAGAAATGTATGGGAAAAGTATGCCGTAGAAATGTATGGGATTATGCATAACGTGCGTAGCGAAAAAAGTACGCAGTGGATTTGAACGGGGTAAGCGCTGAACGAACCGGAGTGTGAAGCGCTACATTTTGATACCAAGCGTGGCCGCATACGGTACTGGAAATCGGAGTTATTCCAGATTTTCAAGGTGCATTCTCAGCGCGAAAGTACTTAAGTCACATTTGAGAAATCGTTTTGTGAAAGCCAGCAGGGTATATATACCTTTTGTAGCTTGCTGCAAAAAGTGTCCTGCCGATGCTGCTAATGTAGTGTGAAATGTTGTAATTGTAGCACTCATAATCATCACAAAGGTGGTATAATAACAGATCAGAAGGGAATTATAAATTAAAAATCTGAAGGAGACATAGGTCCATAATATATATACGTCACTGATTACTATTCATAATTATAACGACTGCAAAAATTCATAGAGGACAGTTATTAGTCACAACCTAAGTAAAGCTTTACATGGGTGTATATAGAAATGAAGAAAAAATAAATATCATTTACAAAGAAACAGGCTAAAAATAGGTTTTTTCTACATTCAAATGTTGCAAAAAAGTGCAAAATCTCAGAAGAATGAAGACGAGACGGAAAGAATATTATATCTAAAGACCAGGAACAACTTCCGTAATGTGTTGTTGCAGAATGTGGTTTTTGACGACGTCGAATACAAACTTTATGTTTTCTGTGTCCGTGGCGCAGGTGAAGTGGGGGTAAATGTCCGCCGACCGCATGTCGTTCATGCTTATGAACATCTTCGCTATAAACTCTCTCGTACTGACGTGGTCACATTTGGGCCCTGATAGAGGGAGGGAGGGAGGGAGAGAGGGAAGGAGAAGGGAGGGAGAGGGAGGGAGGGAGAGAAAGGAGGAGAGAGGGAAGGAAGGAGAGAGGGAGGGAAAGAAGGAGGGAGAGAGGGAGGGAAAGAGGGAAGGAGAGAGGGAAGGAGGGAGAGAGGGGAGGGAGAGAGGGAAGGAAAGAGGGTGGCGGAAGCATAGAAAGAGAGGGAAGTGATATTATGAATGCAGTGACATTGAAAAAAAAACATCTGTATACAGAGCTTGGAAGAAGCACAGTTTATGCAAAATTGATCATTAAAAAGAGAAAACGAACAACAGAGCTTGACACTAAATTCTCAACCTCAAGGCCATTCACTATACGTACTTCATACACAAACTTGTCACGAATCGCGCATAAACAGCGTCCATAAACTCAGTTTGTTGGTGTGTCTCACACTAAAAATCAACATACACAATTCACAAAAGTTTCTGAGAGCTACTACATCTCACCGTCATATTCCTCGAAATAGTCGGCGAGATGCGAGTGCATGACCTTCTCTTCCAGAAGGTCTTTCTTGTTGAGGAAGAGGATGATGGAGGATTTCTTGAACCAGGGGTAGGAGATGATGGTGTTGAACAGATGGAGACTCTCCACCATTCTGTTCACTTTCTGAAGGAGAGAGGGGAGGGAGGGAGGGAGGGAGAGAGGGGAGGGAGGGAGAGAGGGGAGGGAGGGAGAAAGTAATTTTACTGATACCAGAACGAATGCAAAATGTACTTTTGGCGAGCGAACATGAGTGCGAAATTTTCAGCTGATTTACGTAAATTACATTACTGTAATTAGACGACAGTAAGAAAAAGTCAGTCAACCATAGGAAGACTCATTTTGCTCGTCTAGGGGAGACAAAACTTTGAGATTACTGAGAAAGTGACACATTAGATTACGGAGGAATACTGAGCCCAATCCTGGGATTACTGAGATACACACATATATTACAGAAGAATACTAACTTCAATACTAAGATTACTGAGATCATAAATACACAACAGAGGGAATATTAGGTTGAGATACTGACTCAGACAGTGATATGGAATACCTACACAGCACCAAGATTACTGAGATATTATAGAGGAATACTGACCCCCAGCACTGGGATTACTGAGAGAATACAGACAAATACACACTGGGATTACTGAGAGATTACAGAGTAATACTGACCCCCAGCACAGGGATTACTGAGAGAATACACACTGGGATTACTGACAGATTACAGAGGAATACTGACCGAGTCGGCCTCCACAAGGAACTGGTCGTACTCGCTGATGGCCACTAGGAACATGACACTGGTCACATGATCAAAACAGTGGATCCATTTTCTTCTCTCTGACCTTTGCCCTCCAACGTCAACCATCCTAACACGAATACGTTTGATAAAATGTGCTGCGCATGCAGTGGAACTCCTCTCGAAGGTCACACCGAAACGAGGACACCTCACTTATACTTCCCCAAGAGCAGTTTTTTGCAGAGCTTTACTCTGTATATTGGGAAGTGTATAATTAATATACACATCCCAGTATACAGAATAAACCTCTGAAAAGCACCTCTGAATAAAGGAAACCATTGAGATAGAAGACACTTGGCTCTGCCCTCCAACTACGGGTACACCTCTAAATAAAGCACAGTTTGAAATTTCCCAAAGGGGTGTCCCGTGTTGTTGTACTGTAATGGGCGTGGGTGCAACTGGCGCACCTGCGAAATGCACGCGAAAGTGCTATCGTACACCTATTCCTGTATAGTTGCATGGGCCGTATAGAAAGCTATGGACCTCTTGCAGCTAGGCGAACTATGATGTTGTGTGTACTGAAAGACTACTTTTGTGTTGATAATGAATCTCTGATTTGTGTGCATAGAAATCTCACTTGAAGATGATCTTGTTGATGGTGAATGGATATTCATTGATGCCAGTAGTCCGGGACTGCCGACTCTGTGACTGCGGGGTAAGCAGGTGGTGGGTAGATAGTCATTGGAGGATATTCGAGGGAGGTCGTCTAGATAGCTGGGAGGGGTGGGAGGAGGGAGGGGGAGGTGGCGGCGGACGAGAGGGCTAGGGTAGAGAGGAGGTGGAAGTACAGGTGACGGTGGATGAGAGGGCTGGGAGAGAGGGAGGGAGGAAAGAAATGAGGGAGGAAAGAAGGAAGGGGGAGAGAGGGAGGAGAGGGGGAGGGAGGGGAAGAAATGATGGAGGAAAGAAGGAAGGGGGAGAGAGAGGGAGAGAGGGAGGGAGGGGAAGAAATGATGGAGGAAAGAAGGAAGGGGGAGATGAAGGCAGAAAAAAGGGTGGAAGAAACGATGGAGTAAAGGAGGAGGGGGTGGAGGGAGAGAGGAAGGGCAGGAGGGAGGTAGGGAGGGAGGGAGAGAGGATGGTAATAATAACAGAGCACACACCATGAAAGTGTGTATATACATAATACGCCATCCCATAACACCCGCATCGCCACAACGAAAACACTGCTAGGAATCAGGGAAAGGAAGTTGATATATAGACAAGCAAGACTGCGGAACTACTTCCCTCACACACACACACACACACACACACACACACACTACTAACTACGAGTGAAACCTTTGCATAAGGGACACCTTGGGGACATACAGAAAGCGTTGTTTGTTCAGAGGTGTCTCTATTTGTAAGCCACACTGAGCCCGTCACATGTAAATAAATAAAGATAGAAAATTCCCGCCATTGAAACGACTATAAGTATAGGCTCGCTTCACTTGCCAATAAGTATAGTGCAGAACCAAGTGTCTTTTGTAGAGAGGTATCTCGTATTGAGAAGGCCGGTTTTACTGCCTATGTATTGTGCTGCTCTAATAAAAAACCGGGCTATTTCACCATGTGTGCCATGGAGTTGTGTTCTTGCCAGTAAACTCGCTGAATTCAGCCTCTGGCTCATGCAGGGCTACGAGTGTTGATAGATACACACCGGGGGATGATCCACAAGGTAACAACAGGTACAGCTACCAAGTTGCATGCATGTTGTTGCTGTACATTGACAAGGCTTTTCTATTGCTGCTGCATGTTGCCTAGGCTTGCATCAACTTTCTCACAAATAGTAAAGTGTCTCCCTTATCAAGCCCCTGCATGCTTGTGTACCACGACACGAAGGTACATATACACAGTTGTAGCTCGTGCATAATCGTTGGCACGGACACCGTTTCTATGGTCCAGCAACATTGTGTGTCAACAACGCAAGGGCAAAGCAAGCAAAGTTAACTACAACATGTACATACACCCAGGACAGCTCTGGAAAAAAGAAGAGCATCCCGAGGTGGGATTCGAACCCACGACATTGCAGTATGTACCACTGTGTACCAAGCACAGACTGTACATGAGGGAGGTTACTAAATATATATAACTCACTAGAAGCTACCAGTCGACTACTATCAAAATATGCAGCACCGTAACAAGTGCAGGAATGCCTGGTGTGTGTATATAAAACCCTGGGGAGTTGGTTGGTGGGGGGGAATAACACGGGCAGTTCTACGGGTGTCGATGGTGGAATATTGCATGCCAGCTGTGAGGGATAACTGCCAGCGTAAACTACGTCTGGAGGAGAGACGCAACCGCGAAATCACTCTCATGGTGGCGACGTACGTATCAACTGCGACCATCAGACAATCTCGTGTTTATAAAATTTTTGGCTAAGCATGAATGTTAAATTAATAATAGTACATAGGGAAGTACTAGGGAAGTACATGAAGGTCTTAGACCATGTACACATACATAGATGGAGGTGTAATGCCTCAATTAGAGGGCGTGTGCAAGATTAAGAATTGCTGTTTAAATCGACGAAATAGTGTAATCGTTAAATTGAACGTTGTTATTAAAACCTGCTTTGCGGAACTGCCAAGTGTGTGTCGTTAATTTCAGCATCTGTGAATGCCCATTACAATATGTACATTCTATCATAATGGTGGACTAATATCGAAATGCAAGTCAATTAAACAATAATTATATAATACAATTTGTGTGTTTTTCTGTCAGATTACACACACGTGGCAGCAGCCCAGACTTTGGAATGTTAGTCAACAAACAATTACAAGTCACTAAATATCTTGGTTTTTAATTCTCAGCATTGTTTGTAATTCATCAAAACGCAACCTATGTACCACTATAATGAAAAAGGTAATGCTGTGATTTATATATAGTTACATACACACAGTATACAAGCGCATAAGTGCTGGCACATACAGTATGTATTACGTATTATGTACGTACGTACCCCATAAAGCAGTGAGTATACGAGGTGTATTATGCAGGTGTACGTTAACCCTTAGCAAGCCACGGACATATGTGTCCAGAGCCTCCGTAAACCCTTAAGAATTTATATGGGGCTATAATACTAGGTGTTAATACAATTTATGCCTATTTAAGGAGATACCCATGGCGTCCAAAGGGCTAAAGAGAAAACAGCTTGCAAGCAACACAGGCGACGTTCTGCCCACAGGTACAGTCAGTGGTGGTCAATTTGGCCACCACTGACTGGCAACCACCATCGGTTTGGTCAGTTTATCTGGTACTAGTACTGCATGGCCCTAGTTAATGCCCACTCTACACCCACACTAGGCAGCTGAGCTACAGTATAGCGGACAGCTTTTAAAGAGAATCCTTTCCTGTTTTTCGTGGTTTCAGGGGCTAATTGAGTGCAAACGTCCATTTTTGTGGCGGTTGAAAATTATTTCCAGCATATTTAACTGCTATAAGTCTCTCGAGGAGTCCTTGTGGACTACACAGTTCTAGAGGGTTCAGTAGCATAGTATATATGTAGGGGCAGTTGTATTACCGCATTAGGCAGGGGTGTCCTCGTTCTAGGGGGTGGAAAAGTGGAAAGATACGATCGTCATGAGCCAGCCATATATGTCCAGTGTTCATGACAAGCGCAGTCCACAGTCTCTTGTAAAGCCTTATATCAATCAACCCGGAGTGTGTAAACAGCACTAACATGTATAATTTATAGCATCTGTGACACACATGTGTGCATATACGCATTTATACAATATGCATATAGTACGTAGATGCTGTATATAGTTCAAAGGTTGAAGGGAGAATACTGTAGTACAAAGGTCGAAGGGAGAATGTATGTAGGAAATGAGGCAGGAGAAGATCCAAGGAGAGAGAAGAAGTGCCACAATAGGAACACACTCTCCACCATGCCCTAGTCACAGGATGTTGCCAATGCTTTCAATGTCCACAGAAGAAGAAGAAGTGGTACTGTATGTTAAACACAACTGTACTAAGTTCCTTCCTTACGGAGTTGCCCTGGTAGCTCAGTTGGTAGAGCACTCGCCTAGACTACAGAGTGTCGTGGGTTCGAATCCCACTTAGGACAGCTCTTCTTCTTTTCTTTGAGCTGTCCTGGGTGTAGTTGACTTGTTTGCCTTGCCTTGCCTTTCTACCTCGTCACCAAGTTGTTGAGACATGCATCCATTACAACCCAGGTAGAGACTTGGCATTACGAGTAGATACATACACATAGACATGTAACAATATACATGTACAGTGCTGACCGTACACCCGCCTATTAAGGTACAGTGCAATCATTGTTGGCACTTTCTTCCCATGGCTATATAAATGATACAGCACATATACCGTACCTCAACCAAGTACAATACCGTGTGGATTATGGATTGATACACTTCACTAAAACAGGTTTTTTTTTCGTCGGGGAAAATTCTTTTCGTTCCTTCAATTCCAACAACGTCCGTAAGAAAATACTGTACTATGTGCACGTAAAACCAGAATCAGGATGTGAAAATCAGAAAATGAAATAAACCCGCTATAGTATATATGGTAGTTGATGTGGCTACTATCATGAGAACACACTCACTATTAATCAGTACTTAGAGGGATTATGAGGAAGACGAGCTTTTGTCTGGGGGTTCACAACTCTGTGCCTATAGTGCACAACTGGACTTCCAGTCACGATGATGACAGAGTTCTACTCCCCGGACAAAGGTTTGTTCTTTCTCTGTCCCTCCCGACCTTCGTATTCCTTCTGTACCCAATCTATATGCCAGTATAATTGCGCTTTGGATCCTCTGTTGAGTGTAACTATATATACACTGAATACCACGTTCTGCTTATCGTGTTCAGAAAATATTCTCTCGACAAAGTAATACTCACTATTTGGTTGAGTCTGAAAGTTGGTATTCGTTTCTTCGCAGGTAGCATTCCTGTACTCCAGGGTCCTGCCAGAGCTTCCTGATAGCTTCGTACGTCTCTCCTCCTAGGTTTAGGACTGAGGGAGGGAGGGAGGAGGGAGGAGGGAGGGAGGGAGGAGGGGGAGGGAGGAGGGAGGTGAGGTAAGAGAAAAAGGGAGAGGGGAAAGATGTGGATAAGACAGAGCAAAATGAGAGAGAGAATGAATCAAAAAATACAGATTTGCTATCCACTATACGCCACCAGGCAATACAGTATAACAGGGACCTTTAATTTATAACTTCCGTGATTTTGTTGTCGCGAAAAACTCTAGCTCACAAACGTGCCACAGAGAAAACTGGCGCCAGAAATTCAAAAACGGTTTCTCCGTCTCAAAAGCTTCCAACCACGGAGTACTTTCAACCACCCAATCATTCTCATGGCAACCCTGGTATGTGGGCTATAATGACCGCCGATACGACCATTCACTCTTGGCTTTTCCGTAGCTATGACATTCTTTCCCATCGCACACAACATTGCCACTAGACCAACTCGCTTCAAATTTTCTCCCGCAAAAATACCTCCAGATTTAAAAGCCACGATTCAATGCCAAGTAAGAATTGTTGTTGATAATATTTTGAGTACTCAGATTGCCTCTCCTGCTGTGCGTTAGTCCCAAAGTACAAGTTTAACATCTCTCTCTCTCTCTCTCTCTCATTCACACACACACACGCATCTACCTTCCAAGAGTATGAAACTGAGATGTTATCCCTCAAAAGCAGTGTTCCCCGAAGCACAAAATCGGTTGGTTCGACTAAGTCTGAGTCACGAAATCCGCTGGTTCAGCATTTTTCTATTGTTCTTAACTCGTAACCCACGTTCACAACCTGTTCTTCTTATGGCATACCAACCAACAACAAATTTCGTGACTCAAAACATAGTCTTAACTCTTAGCAAGCCACAGGCATATATATAATATAATTATATATGCCCAGAGCCTCCATAAATCCATAAGAATTTATATTATGGCTAAAATGCTAGGCGTTAATTTTGTTATACATTAATTTCTGCATATTTAAGGAGATACCCATATGGCGTCTCAAAAGGGTTAAATGAAGTAATTAGGACAAAATCTAACAGTCACAGCTGTGCTGAAATGGAGGCTCCCATTATTATATAACCTACACATATACTGTTAAATACGCTTTCTCATGCATAAAATGCACTATAAAAATGTCCCTGGCTTCAAATTACAAGTATGTAACCTATACATAAGGAGTTGTTAGAGTGGTATTTATAATCCACACCTGAATTGTATTAACACACTACATATAACGGCAGTTTCCCTGAGTTCAAATTACATGTATCGCATTACGTGAGCTCAATTACTTGGAACACTAGCAACGCCTCACAAGGGCATACTACATATGTCACCTCTTGGATCCAGTAGTATTTCTGGTATGTAAGACGGAGGCAATTGCATCTAGACCGCGACCTTTGCGCGATTACAGTGGAACCCCTCTAATCCGGACACCAATAAAGAAGTGTCCATACTATATACAAACAGTGGGGTTGCCTTAAAACAATCCATCGGCTACAAGCAAGAGTTCAGATCAAGAGACAAACAGCACATCCTTCGGAAATACGTACTAGGAAGAGGAAGGGGTGAACTGGGGGGGGGGCCAATGTAAGAGGGAAGATTGCCGTGGGTTTGAGTCTTAGGGCAGCTCTTGGTAAAGCCTAGTGTTGTCCTGGGTGTAGTTGATATGCACTCCCCACGATTTGGGACAGCTCTTGGTAAAGCCTAGTGTTGTCCTGGGTATAGTTGATATGCACACCCCACGATTTGTGACAACAAGAAGAAGGTTGCAACACCCACGATAACCAACTCTTTTGTCAAGTTTGTGAAATTCTAACCCACCACACTCTGCAGTCTAGGTTAGCTAGCTTATCTACACAGCCCCTTGGTCCTACATTACATGTGTGTCTCCATAGAGGTACATATTGGCATTTCTGTACATCCACATACATATGTAAGTCCATTCAAGTACATATTTTTACCAGATTCTGGTGTAAGAGCTCTCAACAGTTGAACGTGTCTCTCTGCGTCTGGGTCAATGTACGCTATCTTGAGCTCAGTCATCGCTTGGACCAGGGAGTGCATGGACATGAGAATGTTCCGGAAGACGAGGTTCTTGTACTCGAGGCAGTCCTGCTTGGAGTAGCCTTTCCCGTGGATGATTCTCATCTGTTTGATGAATGTGCTCTTTCCCGATTCACCTGTGCCTGAGGGGAGAGAGAGAGAGGGAGAGAAGGAGGGAGGGGGAGGGAGGGGGAGGGAGAGAGAGAGAGGGAGGGAGAGAGAGAGAGAGAGAGAGAGGGAGGGAGGGAGAGGGAGAGGGAGAGGGGGGAGGGAGAGTGTGTATTACAACTGTCATCCTCGTGCCATCGTGACAATAAATCAAATTCGGTCAAATCATTCTATATACACTCTATGTTAGCACGGAGTTATTGGGAGTCTCATATGGCGGTTAGCGCTAATGGCACATTTGGCACTATAAAGCAACACAGTGACTATTCAGAATTCGGTCAAAACCATGGCAAACAACCAACTACTACAAGCCCCAACGGCCAGAACAGCAATTAAGCACAGATTTTAGGCTCGCTTCTGTCTACCATTTTTGTACATGGTACGTAGCCGTGCATTTGGGCATGTGTTTGCGACGAAAAAAAGTCGCATTGTGATCTCGTTGCTATGGTAGAGGCATCCGAAATAATATAACACGACACAGTACATAGCTCTCATAACTAACTGACAGAAAAGGGAGAAATTGCGTATGTTGTTTGAGGTATCTATATAATATTATGGTGGAGGTATACCACACACCGGCAAAACTGCTAGAATCTTTACTATACTAGCTATACACCGTAGCACCTTGTACAATCTGCAGCTCACCCTCCTAATAAACAAGGTCCCTACAAGGGTTATAAATCTCCCTGCCTTTGTTGTATTGCCACATAATTCAGACGGCTATATAGCTAACACGCAAAGTCTATCGTGGTCGGCATCTGTACGCAGTAAACACAGGTACCGCACACACGCACAGCATTTTTCCTAGAGTCATACGTAAAGGCTGGAAAACAGAATGGCTTTGCATGCCCTATTACCCAACGCATAATAGCCCCTTTACGGGTCTAAAAACTACGCCCTGCACAGAGAGACGGGACAACGCCACGAGAGAACACACGCACCAAGCAGAAGCAGCTTTATCTCTCTCTTGGACTCCTTGTGGTCTCGCTGCAGTTCTCGGTTGATACGGGTGTTTAACCGCTTCTGGAGGCGCGCCTCTTCGGTCAGCAGGCACGTCATGGCGACAGTTTCCACGCTGTCGCTCTCTGGCGGGGTCTTTGGGCTGAAGGGACGTGGGTAAGAGTGGAAGGTGTCGACGCAAAGATCGAGAAGGAAAAGGTGATCAGTGATCACGCCCCATCCTTTCCCTAAATATAGCACATTCCCTGCACGTGACCGTGGGCGTTATCGGTTCTAAAAATAGCACACAATTAGCATTCTTATACCCCTCCCTTTACGCCCTTGCGTTCCCCTACTCTGTCGACACTGACCACACATCACCTTCCCTTTCGTGCGTCTAGGAGCAAGTAGTGTACGTCTTCGAGGCACGAGTTGTAGACCGAAGGGGAGAGGAGCACCGTCTGGCGCATGCGGAAGCGACAATGTGTACGTGTCTACTGGACGAAGAGGGGAAGGCCAGTCTACGGATCAGCCAGGCCATAGACCGGGAGCTGAGCCAGTTCAAGAAGGAGAACGCCCGGGAGTTCAAGCTCCTGCTACTAGGTTTGTTCCCCGTGGCTCAGCGCGACAAGCGGTGAAACACGCGTGTAGTAACTCTACGTGCTAGTTAGTGTACTCGTACATTATTCTGGCAGCTAAACTACAGTAGCTAGCTTGGGACTCAGGGCGCGTGTGTGTGTGTGCAGCTGTGTGTGTGTTGTGTATACAGTTGAAAAAGACCAACTTTTGTTGGGTTCTAAATCTGTCCAACGACTGCTCAGAGTGTGAAAGGCACACTGTGTGGTAGACGTAGTGTACAATCCCCCTGGAAACGATGCCATTTCGAATCTCTTACCCGGCAATTATGCATGTACGTCTAACGTCCGATTTGATGTGTTGTACACAAACGTCTTACTTGGAGTTGTTTTGTTTTTGCTCAATTGTGTGCCTCTTCCTACATAATTGTACTATACATAATGTGAGGCAATTGCATGCACCTTGCCCCCTATACCACACACACCTGTTTATCGATCTTGGCCTCGAGTAGCAGCACAGCACATTACCCGGCCATAGGGAAATAGCGTGCGGAACTGTCTACACCTCATTGCTGTTTGTGCGAATACTGTAATCCCCTATCATAGCCCCTTGCATCTACTGAGTGCGTATTGTATGATTGTACACTATGCCCATCGCTCTACGCAGTATATACTAGCGTAACTATTGCACTAGAGGAAACTAAGGGACTTGTTGTTGCACTGCCGTCATAACAACAGCGTCCCTCGTTGATATACAGATACTGGCGCAGTGACTCCATAATCAATTGTTTGCCCCTAAAGTAACCACCAGTATATGCATACGCCAGCTGGCTTTTGTTGACAGACTACATAATATGTAATTGGCCACGAATTCATACATATTGCAACTTTCTATAGATACTGTATATCTGTGTCTTCTGTGCCATGTGCGATGTGTCTGGATCCAAGAGGTGTGATCCGTAACAATAAACTTTCACTGGAGAGATAATTTTCACGATTCAATTGCGATTTGTTAGCAAACTGCCTGTTTCCCTGAGTGTACTCCCCACACACAGTTTGTGTAGAAAACGTCCGCAGATTGGACCCAAAAGAGAGAATTTTGCGAAATTTTTACCCTTTGTAGGTTTACTGTATTGTACTCTCTGCAGAATGTATGTAAATGCCAAGTGTCCCGATTAGTGGCGTGTGTATCTGGGCATGTTATACATAGAAGGCACCACTGTATGTACTACAGTGCCTTTGACTATATGTGTGATGTATCATACGTGTGTCAACTGGGTATAGCGAGGTAGAAAGGCAAAGGCACAACAAACAAGTCAACTACACCCAGGACAGCTCTTTTTTCCAAGGAAAAAAGAAGAGCTGCCCTTGAGATTCGAACCCACGAAACTGCAGCCTATATGTACGCATTCCATGTTACCTAGTCTCCAAATGTACACGTTACCAGTTTCAGAGCCTAACAAAATGTCCGTGACCAATTACATACATAGCTCAAAATATGGCGTGACTAACAAGACCTCTAGCTAACCATACCACTATAATAATGTATATAGATGTTTTGTAGTGCCTTGCATGCTGCACCTGAACTAGAAGGAATGCATATGGCATTAGTAGCGGGTGCGAATCTTCCCCTCCAAGGACACCCCTGAAACGAGGACACATCTTTAATAAGGACACCTTATTCTTTCCCCAATTTAACCCTGGAGTGAAACCTCTCTAATATATTATCCGGGATTTACAGGTGAAATCTTATAGTGGGGGGCCTCCGTCACAAAGGTGTACTTACACTGTCTTTGCCGCAAGTGTAAAGGGATGCGGCACTTTACACAGGCTTCCATGCTGGTTATTGTGGCATGACATACGGTACGAAGAAATGTGATGTATGCCATACAAATTTGGAACTTCGTTTTACATCATCTAACTATTCTGTGGATGTGTGTACATTGTACTAACATGTACAGCCATATACTATAGGTCAATGAATAGGCAAAGAGAGAAGTATATAGTGTCCATTACATAGTTATACAATGTACTGATTTCCATATTGGAAAAGATGCTAAGGGGTAATTATTTGGTAATTGAGGGTGTGTCTGTCGGCAATAAGCCACCGGAGGTACAGCTCATTGCCTTGAAATGCCGCACGATATTTGGTTACATTGGTGCTGGCCAGCTGAGAGTGTTGTGTTCTTGTTTATAGCCATTTTCCCTCTCTCTCAAGCCTTTCCATTAGAATTTCGGGTAATGTGTATAGGTTTACACACTTGCCAAATTGTGCTGGTAATCCCTTTTGTCTGTCTCTCTCTCTCTCTTACCTCACTCCCGTGTTTCTCGTCCACTCTCCTTTGCTCTCTACAGGGTCTCCTGCCAATCGTTTCGTTTTCTCCGTCGAACTTTCCCCGACCATCATCCTACTCCCTCCCTCCCTTTCTCCCTCCTTTCCCCCTCTCTACCTTTCTCCTTCCCCAATCTTTCCTTTTCTCCTTCTACCTTTCTCCCTCCCCTCCCTCCCTCCCTCCCTCTCCCTCCCTCTCTACGTGTCTCTAGGAACGGGAGAGGCTGGGAAGAGCACGTTCATCAAACAGATGAGGATCATCCACGGACAGGGCTACAGCGACAAGGACAGAGCCGAATTCAAAACACTAGTCTATCGGAACACCGTCAAAGGCATCCAGATCATGATCGAGGCAATGGAGACACTAACGATCCCGTACACTGACCCGTCTAACACGGTTGGCTATTTAGTTGTTTATGGTACGTATGTGTCCCTATTCACCACTGTACTGTGGCTCTAAGTATATACACCACTGAAATGAGGACACCTCTCTAACAAAGACCCAAGAACAGTTTCTTGCGTGCAATTGTTAAATTTAACAGGAACTTGTGCATGTGCCCAGTACAAGCAATCTGTGAAAATTGCCTTGTGCTAGCGGTGCATGTTGCTGAAAAAAATTTGCTAAGAAGAAGAAAAATGAAGCAATTTGATGTGTAAAAATAAACTTCAGAACGCATGAAGTACATAAATACAAAAGACTTGCAAGAAAGGACCTTGTTAAGACTTTGTGCCTTTGCCACGTCCCATACATGCCATATGTAAATGTATCGATCACTGAACTGTACTGAAATTTGTCTGCACGTGTGTGCGTCGTAAACTGCCATATGGAGCAGAGCCCGTGCTATTTGTCTACATGTTTAGAGTATAAATGTCCACAATAGAGCGACACCATTTGTACCCAACTTGCATAACACGCCCAACATTCTTCCGTAGAACGCGTGTTACCCCAGTAACACTGTCTGGTATGCATTGAGTGCTCGTGGGGATGGCCTCACTGATCAGTGAGGTGTCCTGATCAGTTAGATGTCCTGATTAGTGAGGTGTCCTGATCAGTGAGGTGTCCTGATCAGTGAGATGTCCTGATCAATGCGGTGTCCTGATCAGTGAGGTGTCCTGATCAGTGAGATGTCATGTACAATGAACTGCACTTCACTCTCTCTGACACCATGCAGAAAAATGTACACGTGAATGCAGTTGAAGGACACCCCCCCAAACGAGGTCACCTTTTACATTCCCTTTCTTGGAACCCCTGAAATATGTCACTCTAGCGTGGACAATATATTCCGTTCCATAATTATTAGAGTGGTTCCAAGTAGGATAGTGTTATAGGTTCTAAGTCAGGGCGAGGAAGAAGAAAGTAAAAAGACAGTCTACCTTTACTTTTAACACACCCCCTTTCCCACTCACTCTATTACACATGAACGCCACGAAATTTTATTCGGAACTACGTAGGTATCCTTTATTTGGAGTGACGTCAATTGTAAGAGCTTCCACTGGATGTGTGTATACACGTACACCTAAAGCTAGAACTAAAGATGTTAGGCTGTGTAATTGTGAGAGACTACATGCCCCTAGTTAGCAGGGTCATAAAAGGTTAACTATATTATAATGGTGTTTGTCGTATTCAGTGGTATGTGAGTGGGAGTCTACAATGTGTATATACAGACGGTATTATGATAATTCCCTGAACCTGGGAGCATACACACGGAATGAACGTGCAATACAATCACAGGGTTCTCCCTTGCAAATACTTTTGTCAGTGTGTAAGCTGTATACACCACAGGCATAACCGCCCACACTGAAGCAATCAGCTTATAAATCAGCCGCAGTTAGTCAAAATCTTTGGGAAAAAAACCCTTTCAATTGCCACATTCCTGTACACTACAAGCACTTTTTAGCTCACAAGAGCCAGTACTGTACATATGGAGCTACATACTGTACATACACAAGAGATAAGCTGTCCCAGATTACACGCATGCAGCACGTAAATATAATTATTATGCAGCCAATACCCACGGTGCCTGCACTCATGCACATGTAAATTGCATACACATGCCACCACCATGGAACAGAACTCAGCGAGGCATTTTATTAACCCCCAAGAGCGGGTCTTGTATGTAATTACAAACGACACTTCTCTTCAAATAAACACTTCCGTTCCATGGGTGTCCGGATTAGAGGGGTTCCACTGTATAATGAAAATCTCAAATATATGGGCATAATGCAGGATGACCCGTGTCATCCCTATAATAATATACTAATTATACACTACTATAAGCAAACAATGTGTCGGCAAGCATGTATGCGTATACGTACTGCTCTAGTCTATAATGGTGTGTGTTTGGCTGTGTGTTTATTAGAACACATGCTTGCGGTCACCAACACAGTGCCCCCCTACAACCCACGGTATACAACTCTTTACAGAGGTATTATATGTATGTACCATAATCCACTGGTATAACGGCGACGTACTGTGCAATATGGGGGTAGGATCCTTCGTCAATGAGTGATTATGCTTTCATGTTTATTGAACCTCCTTTCCCCCCACACTGGAGCTCGAGGGCGGATTGTGTAGTTGTGTATGTACGTGTAATAGTTACGTAAATAATTGTGTACTGTTTGGGCAAAGAAAGGTGTCCTGATCGATGAGGTGTATTAATTAGTACGGTGTCGTGATAAGTGAGATATCGTGATCAGTGAGATGTCCTGATTAGTGAGGTGTCCTGGATCAGTGAGGTGTCCTGATTAGTGAGGTGTCCTGGATCAGTGAGGTGTCCTGGATCAGTGAGATGTCCTGATCAGTGAGGTGTCCTGATCAGTGAGGTGTCCTGATCAGTGAGGTGTCCTGATGAGTGAAGTGTCCTGATCAGTGAGGTGTCCTGATCAGTGAGATGTCTTGATCAGTGAGGTGTCCTGATCAGTGAGGTGTCCTGATCGGTAAGCGTAACCCTGAAGTCCAGATTAATGAGGTTCACTTTAGGTTTTCTGTCCATGCACATGTGGTTTTGCCAGCCATTGTACATGCATGGGAAACCTACACCATATACTTCAACCGGCCATTTGTTTCCTTGCAACTTCGCTACCCAGAATGGTGTATGCATTATTTGTAGTGTTACATGTTGCGCACGTATATGTCGTGTCAGAGAGTGAGTTGTCGTTTACTGCTAAGTGTTTTTGGCGACAGGCACAACAATGTGACCTCAAAACCCCTTACTCAATGAGCTATCTAAACGGCATTAACATTGACTCTATCGAGTTAACTGGGATAGATGCAGATTGTAATGCACCCACACTGCGATGCAAGGTATCACTCCCCCTTTCGTTTATCAATAAACTAACAGCGTTAGAGTCACATTGTGTTCCTTCTCCAATTCAGACACCATATAGGATTGAAAAAAAGTGACGTTGTTGGAGAGGTGTCCTTATTCAGAGGTTGAATTGTATGTACAGAACAGTTCTTGGGGAAGAAGAGAGGTGTCCTTATTTCATGGGTGTCCTTAGAGAGGGGTCCTCATTTCAGAGGTGTGCTTAGAGAGGGGTCCTCATTTCACAGGTGTGCTTAGAGAGGGGTCCTCATTTCATGGGTGTCCTTAGAGAGGGGTCCTCATTTCCGGGGTGTCCTTAGAGAGGTGTCCCACTGTATGTACAACACATAATATAAGAGATCACTGGGTTTCTGGAATCTGCTAATGAAGTGTTTTCAAATGAGCTATTTTCATATCCCTTGCGGTGCAAGGTTATCACTACCCCTTACGTTTATGAGGAGCCGTGGAACTGGGCTGATTCGCCATTACATTGCACTCCCTTTAGTGTCTATGCGAAATACATAAAATAGGACCCCTCTCTAAGGACACCCCTGAAATGAGGACCCCTCTCTAAGGACACCCTTGAAATGAGGACACCTCTCTAAGGACACCTCTGAAATGAGGATACCTCTCTAAGGAAACCCCTGAAATGAGGACACCTCTCTAAGGACACCCTTGAAATGAGGGCCCCTCTCTAAGGACACCCTTGAAATGAGGACACCTCTCTAATACAGACACATTTTCTTTCTCGAAGAACAGTTCCGCGGCTGGCACCATAAAGCTGGCCGCCACCAGCACGCCGGCAAGGACGCGCGACAGCCGTGCCGACCGCGAGCAGGATCTCCCGTGGGGAGCTCTCCCGTCTCCTTCCAGCAGGGGCACGGCCAGTTGGGTTTACGCGACTACTTACATACATTCCTACGTACATGTTGCGGTGTGTTTTTCCTGCCATCCGTATTCATAGCCGACCCAAATGATGATACACAAGACGACAAACAACCTGGCAAACATATGGCGCAGTGTACGAGCATTTTCAATACTCTAACAGACTCTTACACCGTCAGACATTGTATCGAGCGATTTGTTTCATTGTGCTGCATCAGCAATCTCGGTCTTTATGGAAAGCCGTTAAAGGCCCTCTGACATGGGCCGGCCGCAAAACATAAGCATATAAGCACATGTTATACATACAACTTGTGGCCACGGAAATGCAGCTAGTTTTAAGAGATTTTGACCAATCAGAGCTACGTGCACTCACGACTTGAATGTGATTACATAATGATCACCAGCTGGCTGATTCGGCAAAACACCCTCAATTGCCACAGCCCCTTTTCTGCCTTTTCTTCTCTTGGTCGTTGGAAAGAGGGGAATTTGGGCTAGAGATTGCTACTGAAAACGGAACTTTATTGCATTCTTGCACAGGGTTAGCCCTATTGTTTAGTGTGTGTTGATAAACCCTTTATGCTATTGCACCAACACTTCCTCTGCCTTGGACAAGGCAGAGTGGTTGCATGATATTCAAAATGGGGATTGCTCCTTGAAGGGCTTTCTGTCTATAGTAGGGGACAGCATTAATGAGAGGGAGATTAGAAGGTTTGAAGAGGGGCTAAATAGCAAAGTAAAGCTGTTATTGTATAGAGTTCAAAAAGTACTTGCATGGGAAAAGTGATGCTGGGTCTAGATTAATGTTTAAGTTCAGGTCAGGCACACATGGGCTAAATGAGGAACTCGGTAGGCATAGGGGGAGGGAGGGGATGAAGGAGTGCCTGTTGTGTGATGATGAGTGTGAAAGTGTGAGTCATGTGTTGTGGGAGTGTCCAACATATAGTAGTCTTAGGAGCAATTTCTTAGTTCCCCTGCAGGAGAAGCTTGGGGATGATGGGTTTGAGCATTTCCAGTCGCTTGATAGTTTCAGGAAAGCATCCTTTATATTGGGTAGTGAGCTGTGGGAGGATAAATTTGGTTCTTTGCTTCGCCTTGTTAAAGGTTTTATTTCGGATGTTTGGGAGCTAAGAAAGGTTAGGTTATATGGCGATAATCCCAGCGTACAACAGACCCAGTCTCAGATTGCGTCTGGGGAGCTGCAGGGTGTCACTGGTGGAAGGGGTGAGTTGAGGTGTCTGGGAGGTGAGACAGACACCGCATGTTCATATGGTGTATGTTCGTTTGTTAACGGTTCCGCCCATTGCTCTGGGTGCGTGGTCTATGGCTCTAGTGCTATGGCAGCCACCTGAGTATTATTATTATGCTATTGCACCAACTGTTAATCAGGGCAGTCCCTAAGATTAGGCCACCTCTCCCTCCCCCACCACCACCTCCTAAATATTCTAAATACCTCTCTCTGATGTGGTGAATGTAGCACCATTTACAGAACTGAGTTTCACTGGAATTTGTCTTATAGATCACCTGTAGGTAGACTCTTAACGTGATACTTTCACTTTGAGTTATTAACATTTACATCTCTGAGTCATTGGTAAAATATTTTACATGTGCAATGAACCTTGCGAGGCCACCAACTCATCTGCCGCTATCCCACACATCTACTCCCATTTCCTTAGATCAATTCTGAGCCTGTTGAAACGCTGGGATGTTTGCCATATTATGTAGTCTTTCTTATCTCCGTAACCTCGACTAAAACTGCATAAAACCAAGTGGACTTCCACGATAGTGTATCTCCCACAGCTCTCACAATTCTGGGGAATTGATGTGTGTTTGTGAATGGTGTCGTAATATTTTACTACTCTTTTCGTTATGCACATCTACTGCTATTTGCCGTGTATACCAGCTGAGTTGGCCTGGTAGCTCAGTTGGTAGAGCGCTCGCCTAGACTGAGTGTCGTGGGTTCAAATCCCACCCAGGGCAACTCTTCTTCTTTTCTTTGAAAAGTAAGAGCTGTCCTGGGTGTGGTTGACTTGTTTGCCCTGCCTTGCCTTTCTACCTCGTCACCAAGTTGTTGAGACATACATGCAGAGTTCCTAAGTGCAGTGTTGGTGGCCAGGACTTGAACACAGTAGGTGGTGTTGTCTCTCAGAAGTACCACCAGGGGTGTCTGCCGGAGCCGCTACGACCAGTACAGCGCCAGCCGTACCACTTTTGCCTGGAGTCGCCACCAACTTACTTACTTCTTGGCCTAGTGTAGGAACCCAGCTAGATCTTTACGGAGCTAGCTAAAGGCGGCGCGCAGCTTTCACCCTGCCCCTTTGTACACGCGCATGTGTTGTTGCCATAGTTGCGTGGATGGACCTAGCGACGACGGATCTGCCGCGCGGCTGTACAAAATAGCATACAAACGGAATCATCATCTTCTTGTCAAGACTTGGAGCAGCAGAGACTATAGGTCGCAGAGACCCGTACCACTTGCCTGAACCTTCCGACACCCCTGACCCGGCGTGTTGTGTGCGGTGCAATGTTAGTGATTTACTGTACGGTATGTGATGCTGGGAACTGTACAAGGCTTCAGTGTTTGCAGACACTGACTGTCTCCTGGACCATTTATTGCTCCATGTGGCACATGTGCTTGCCATAGCTGGGTTCTGCTTTACTTATTGTCCTCCCTTCACCCCTGGCAAATTTCTAGGAAGTTGTACTGTACATATGTATGGTATGTGTATACCTCTCACTACTATATACTAGTCTCTATCTACACTCCAAAATAAATTTTTTTTAATGAAGGGGAAGACCCTATATAATATATATATATAGGGAAGGCTCAAACATGAAAAAGTAAGAAACAAGGGGTCATTACACAGCTACAAGACACACCAAGCTACATGACGCCATCCCTATACTGTAATATCTGATATAAATAGATATGTAGGGATGGGTGTCATGTAGCTTGGTGTGTCTTAGCAGTGTAATGACCCTTTCTTCTTTCCTTTTTCATGTTTTGAGCCATCCCTATATACATATTCATTTTGAAGAAAAGATTTTTTCCACTTGTTGCCTTTATTGAACAGTTCTCATGGTGTCATGGAGCTTTGTCTACCAAGACTCTAATACTCTTCTTTATCATCTCCCTCTCTCCCTCCCTAACTCCCTCCCTCCCTCCCTTCCTCCCTTCCTCCCTCTCCAGTCCCATATCCCAGTTCTGGAGAGACTGGACCCGGATACAGTGACTGAGATTTCACAAGAAGAGTTTGCAGCCATCCGGAGCCTCTGGGCCGATCCTGGCATGAAGAAATGCTTCGATCAGAGAAATAAGTTCCAGATTTCTGACTCAGTTAGACAGTGAGCTATCCCTCTCTCTCTCTCTTTTTCTTGTACTAGTGTATGTGTCAACAATGACGTAACGAGGTAGAAAGGCAAGGCAAAGGAAACAGGTCAACTACACCCAGGACCTTGTAGCTACAAGGAGCTTGGCTTGGCTGTCTTTCTAACACTATAATGTACTTCCTTCCTTAGCTCCCATTTCAGGCCCGCAACTTCCTGCTTACCATGACAATGCAGTGTGTACCTATTATATATACATATATACCCCGAGCATGCCAGTTCATTGTGTGTAGAATTTCATGGTAAGCAGGTTCGAACTATAACTGAAATGGCCAGCCACAAGGATCAAAGTACGGTACCTATGGCTGGTATGCTATGAACTATAATTATTTCATATTATTATAGTGCGTAGCATTAGTGATGAATGGGTGTACAATGCCGTAGGTGGTGTGTGCAATGATGCGTCGCATTCTTTCGGCTTACTGCCTCCTTTCCACTGCCAACTAACTACCAACATAATGCATGGCCTTAGTCGTACCATAATGTACCTTTGTGTGTGCAATGATGACGTCGCATTCTTTCGGCTTACTGCCTCCTTTCCACTGCCAACTAACTACCAACATATATAATGCATGGCCTGATGCATGGCCTGATGCATGGCCTAATGCATGGCCTGATGCATGGCCTAATGCATGGCCTTAGTCGTACCATAATGTACCTTTGTGTGTGCAATGATGCGTCGCATTCTTTCGGCTTACTGCCTCCTTTCCACTGCCAACTAACTACCAACATAATGCATGGCCTGATGCATGGCATAATGCATGGCCTTAGTCGTACCATAATGTACCTTTGTGTGTGCAATGATGCGTCGCATTCTTTCGGCTTACTGCCTCCTTTCCACTGCCAACTAACTACCAACATAATGCATGGCCTGATGCATGGCATAATGCATGGCCTTAGTCGTACCATAATGTGCCTTTGTGTGTGCAATGATGTGTCGCATTCTTTCGGCTTACTGCCTCCTTTCCACTGCCAACTAACTACCAACATATATAATGCATGGCATACCATAATGTACCTGTACTGGTCGTACCATAATGTACCTTTACTGGTCGTACCATAATGTACCTGTACACAGTGTGTATGCGCTGATATGCACTACGCCTACAAGTTTACTACATTTCCAAGGAATG